CTCTCCCCTGCCCTACCACCTCCCCACCCCCCTGCTCCCACATCAATCCCAACCTTGTTTTCCATGTCCATGAGTCATTTATACCTATTCCTTGACTAGATCTTTCCCCTTCTTTCCCCTTTATCCCCCTCCCTCTCCCCTCTGTCGCTGTCAGTCTGTTCCTTGTTTACAAGGACTTACGGAGAACATTTTATGTACCACTTACTGTCCTGAATACAGCAAGCAAAGTAAAAGACAAAACTCCCTTTCCTTGTAGAACTTATGTTAGAAATCTTAATCTTACAAGGCAATAAAACGGCTGATAGAAAACAACTGTAGTGCTGGGAGGATGCTGAAATGACGGGGGGTGAATGTGGGATATGGGTCAGGGAGGACGTGGCACTTCAGTCTCTCACCGACATTTGGATAAATGGCATGGTTTATATTGATAGGTTAAGAGGATCAGACTGAGATACTGCAGATTGACTACTCTAGGCCTCCATTGCCTGACATATAAAGTAGATAGGTCAGTGATATGACAAGTGGGATTCATGGTCCCTGAATTTAAGGAGTCCTCAGACTTGTGAGGATTTGGACCCACCCAGGACTAATGCCCTGGGTGGGCCAGGAGCTTGTGGATATTATGGACAAAGGGAGATATGAAAGGGCAAGGATGCCTGACATGCTCCCCAACTCAAGGAACCTGGTCCAGCAGAGAGCAGAGTGGGTAGAGCAGGGTGGTGACCATCAAGCCATACAGCAAGTCACAGCAGAGCCAGGACTGGAACCTGGGGTCATCTGACTCAAAGCCCAATCATTTTCACTTTTCCCCACAACCTTGAATGTGGGACTAGGGATGAGGGAAGGACTCAGAGGACCAGGAATGCACATGCCAGATTCATGTGTTTGAAACCTGGGCCACAGGATAGACAGTGTAGTGCTGTTGCATGATAGAGAAAAGAGGTGATGAAGGGCCCCTATGATGGGGATGTATAGGGGGTGTAATTTCAGAATATAGTTGGAGATCAAGTTGGCAGCACTTGATATCACTGGTTCAATATGGAAGAACCTGAGGAAAGAGGTGAGGATCTCTCCAGCTTAAGCACTTGAAGGACAACCTGGAGGTTCCTAGACATCACAGGACATAAGATTTTGTGCCCTTTTCCACATCCTTGGCCAGTTCCTCGTCTTCCCTGCCTGCTTGACCCCTCCCATTCTACTGAGCCTTGGAGACTCAGCTTCAAATGCTGTTAGTTAGAAGGCTGAAACCCTTCAACATAGGCCCTTCCAGCCTGCCTCTCCAGTTTCCTTTTCTGCTTTCATCCTACTTCTGTGGGTGTCATGTATCACACACTCAGCAGTTCTTTGAGCATAGACCTCAGTTTTACCAGTCTGAGGACAGGGACAAAGGACCTGAAAGAGACTGACTGCATATGTGGAAAATGGACGAGATCAAGGGTAGCCGAAAGTGGGTTTCTTCTCAACTGGTTATAGGGGCTGTGAGGAATCCTGTGTAGAAGGTCTGAGGCTGCATCCAGGCTTAGCTGCAGAGAGTGTTGTGATCAATTAGCGCTGTCTGCGATGAACACAGAAGAGTTATGGCAGTGTGCATGTGATTTATGTGTAATCTCTTGATGACAAGATCTGTATTGTTTGTATAGCTTACAGATGTTCCCAGGACAAATCAAAGGTGACGCCCAAGTGTCTGGTAAGACTGAGGATAGAAACAAGTTAGAGGGGCTTTTAGGAGAGCTGAGACCAGTGAAAAATACAGGCTGTCCTCAGCGTTGCATTTTCAACTTTCATACCCCTCTCCATTTGTGTGCATTACATAATGATGCCCCTAAACCACCTTTTGTACCCTGACTTGAGGCTCTCAAACCTCAGCTTACAAAGGAATTTTTCTAACTAATGCCTGCCAGCCAGTGGTTCAATTTTGGCAGCCTAACTTGCTGCCTGCACTGTGGTCTTTGAGCAATTCATCTGCATATTTTATTTCCCTTATGGTTTTATAAAAGGCGTATAAAAATTAAGTTGTGGATACCAGTGGAGGAACTGTAGTCCTCCAAATGTGATATAGAAGCAGAGAATCCATTTAGAAGTCTAAACAATGGAACTGCTTCAGAATCATCAGCAGCGATTTAATAAACCATGCCATTGTGGCCACTGGGGAACAATCTGCTATAAAAATTACTGGTCAGGTTATAAGTGACTCTTTAATGACACCCCAGTGGCCCAGTCCACTCAAAACAGACTGGTCAGACCTGACTAGTGTGTCTCAGTGTGTTGGGCGTCATCCCACAAACTGAAAGGCCACCGGTTGGATTCCAGACAGGGCACATGCCTGAATTGCAGGCCAAGTCCCCCGTTGGGAGCGTGCAACAGGCAGCTGATCAATGTTCCTCTCACATATCAACGTTTCCCTCCCTCTCTTTCTCCCTCCCTTCCCCTCTCTCTAAAAATTAAATAAATGTTTTAAAAAGACTGGTCAGATAATAACCAACAAGTAGATGAAAGACAAATTTCTATGATTTTCAGTTGTTCTTACATTCTACATGGTAACTAACATTCTTTTCCTTAAATTTGTGAGCATTGGGAGTTAAGATAGCTAAGCTCCAGACATATCATTAATCAGGTCCTGGGTGGTCTGGATAACTAATCTTTTGCCATACAACAGACATAAAAGTGGAAATTATTCAGTAAAAGCAATATATTTTTAGGATGACTTTTCATAGACGTAAGCTGGTCAACTGGGAGGATTCATTTTGAAGGAAGAGAATTAAGGATTTTCATGACATTCTTAAGGTCTATGATAGACTGTGCCTATGGAGGTAAGGGAAACGGAGATTTTATAGTATGTTAGTATTCTGGGCAGAAACCAACAACCCTATTGACTGCCAGCCTCTAATGTTTATTTTTATTAATATCAACTGTTGGTCTCTTATTATATATTTGACTTACAATCACCTTTTCTGGATTCCATTGTGTATGACAACAGGAGATTATACTGATCACATGACATGTCAATTGAGCTGATGGTTGATTTGGAAATGGGTGCTGCAGTTGGTGGGGTGGAGCTCTGAGTGGGCTGAGGATGGTGCCTCATTGTAGGTTAGAGACAGTGTCTGGATGAAATAATCTAGTCTACAACCGGTATCAGCTGAATCCAATAATACCTCCCCCTGCTGGCTCTTATTTCCTATTTTTGAGGACTGGCTTTAAGTCACTATCTTGTCACTTAGCAACCAAATGACTTATGTTTGTATTTGTACAAAGTATAGTATCTTACATTTTAGTTTGTAGTTTAAGTGCAAAGAAATATAAGTGGGTTGTTTTTATAGTCTTTTTGTCCCTTCAATCCCTCCTATATTATATGCAATACTATATTTAGTGTTTCTATTTCAATTTTTGTAGGATGTTAATTTACATAAAAATAAAATGAATACTAAAAGAAAAAACCCTAAGAGGAAATGCTGTATAAATGTAGTCATTTCTATTGTTACACATTAAGCACCTGGAAGGTAATAGGATTTTGTTTCCTTCCTCCTTCTGTCCCCATTTCCCAAACTTCTGTTCATCCTTTATAGGCCAACACCTAGACCACCTCCCTGGAGAAGCCCTCCCTGACTGCCCCTGTAGTGAGCTACTCCCTTCTCTGTGCTCCGCCATCCTTTACACTCCCATGATTGCATAATGCATCAATTATCTGTCTTTCTACCAGCGGGGAGGCCTCTTGAAGCAGAAACTTCTGTCCTGTGACTCATTCTTATTTGTACATTCTAGAGTCTAGCTCAGTCTTTGGTACATAAGATTATTATTGGTGTGTAAATAAGTAGGTGGATGAGTGAGTATATTAATAAATGAATAAATGGCATTAAGGACTGAACCACAGGTAAAAGAAAGCCTGGCTTGGAACGGGGTGAGAGGCTACTCTAGCACTAGAAGAATTAAGACTGTAGGTCTTAGAGAACAAGTTTTTTGTTTGGGGAATTAGAGTCCCTGCATTGTCTAAAAGCTTATACACATATGTGTGTCTGTGCACATTTGGGGGAAGTGGGGAGAGGGTCCATAGCTGTCATCAGATTCTCAGAAGTGTCTGTGGCTCCCAAATGTTAACAAGTTGCTGATCTAAACATCTGCAATAGGCAGGTCCACTGAGAGGAAGTAATCAAGTGATTGAAGGAAAGAATGCAATAAAAGAGAAAAAAGTCAAAACTGCCAGGAACACTGAGCCCTGTAGGGACATCAGGTGGGGGCCATGGTCCCAAGAATAGGAACTCCAATAGTCTGTGTTCCTGTCTTTCTAAGGTATTGCTCTGTCCTTCTAAGTATCTGTTTGTGAGAAAGCTCAGGGAAGGTTTTGTTTCTTTCACTGTCTTGATTCGTACACTGAATCCATGGGCTGAGGGAGCCTCTCAGGTTCATTGTCTTTAGTTATGTACCTCCAAGCAGACCAAATGGAAATGATCCCAGGCAAACACTGGGAAGCAAACACTGGCTCTTTCCTGCCCCAAACAGATTCCCTCTCCCCCTTCTCTCTCCTATCCTATCCCATCTCGTCCTTGGCTATGAAAACTTGCATTTCATTAGGAACAGTATTTTTCAAGAATGTGGACCTTGGCTTCTTGGTGAATTATAATGTGAATTTAGAGGGTCATGCAAGGTTTTTAAAAACAATGAAATAGTGTATGATAGAAAATATTGAGTATATCACATGTTAGAGTGAGTATAGTTTTGTGGAACTTCCTTTTTCAGCTCAATGTATACAGAGTTATGATATGTGTATTTCATTCTGTGGGTTGTGGTAAAAAAATGTCTGAAAAGCAATAATATCAAGCTTCATTATAAGATCCAACCCTTGAGAAGATAGTGGTAAGAGAGGGCTGGAGACTAGGCTGCTTAGGGGTTCACTTTTTGTTGCTACACCGGGAAGCCCTTTGCTCCCACCAGATGTTAGAGGCCTACCACATTCCCTACTGCTATGACCCCTTCTTGATTCTAGTCTCTCATCTCTTCGGCAGGTTGTATATGTCACCGCGACCTTCCCCTATATTATGCTTCTGATCCTCCTGATCCGAGGGATCACATTGCCTGGGGCCTCTGAAGGCATCAAGTTCTACCTGTACCCTGACCTCTCCCGGCTCTCCGACCCACAGGTAAGAGTTGTTTTCTTGGTGTACAGCTGCCCACTACACTGGGAAGCTTTCTGCAGACCCCTGATGCCAGCCACAGAGGCACAACAGCTGGTTGAGAGCAGTTAGAAGCCTGTGGATGCCTTCTAAGATTTATACATTTCAATGCATAGATTAAGTATATAGGAAATCAAATATAGTGAAATACAACCACCAAAGCATTAAAAAAGACAAATTTGTGGCATGGTAATAATATATGTGTTTCTTTATCAGTATATTGGATAGCAGGATCCATTAAGAGTTTGGATAATTTCTGTGATTTTGAGAGTAGATGACATTTGGAGGTATCTCTACTGTTAGAGGAAAATTTCTGGGATTTCTAGCGCTAACAGTATGGTGCTTTGTTGCCTGCAGTCACAATTGAGGGGAATGTTAAATTTCAGTTAGAGGTTAGTGAAGATAAAAACATACTTTTCCTTTATCCAAGATCACAGATCTCAGCAGCTATGCATCTCAGTGAGAGAAACTTGGTTTTTGTTGGCAACTGATTATCTTTGTAGGAATAGCTCACAGAAAGAAATAATTGGTGAAAACTGGCTGTCACTGGTAAGGTATTGCCTATCCTGAAAAGTGGATAGGAAATGCTTATGCCTAAGTTTCTGTAAGTGGGTAGGTATGTGGTGCTATGCCTGGGGTATGTTAGACAAGAGATGAAAGCAGAGCATCTTATGGCCCCAGGGTTCTCAACCTCTGCTACTTGTTAGAAGCTTGTGGGAAGGAAAATCCCACTTTTAAGAGCACAACTCAGACCAATTAAATTAAACTCTCAGGACTTGGTCTCAGGTATCAGTATCTTTTAAAGGTCCCCAGGTAATTCCAGTGTGTGAACATGATCAAAGATATTTGAGTGGGTGAGCGAGCACCCAGTTTTCTATTAAAACAAACATAGATCCTGTAGTAGAATTTGGAATCTGCATTCAGTAGAACATGAGGCTTGCAAAATATTTCAAGCCTATAATCTGTGACTTCAAGCCATCCCCTGTTAGGAGAACTTGGGTGGAAATATTCATGGAGTGCTAATTAGTACAACTCAGATGTACCTCATCACTGTGTGTTAAGGCTCACAATAGAGTGGCAGTGTGTGCTCACTTTTGTCTCAGTTTGCCATGCCATTAGGGGCCCCAGGTTCAGGGCGGCACTAGGCTCCTGAAGGCAGTATCCAGAATTGAAGGCAGAATCCCTAGGAAGAAGGAAATTAAGCTCCTGACTGTTGACCTTGCCCATTCCAGCCTCTGATGGCACAGGCTCAGTTGGAGAAGCAGTTTTAGAAAACCTGTTTCCAAAATCACTGGTCTGTGTATTTTTGTTAGATCGTCAAATTCTGCCTTAATCCAGGAGAGATGTTCTGTTCTTTCCTCTGCACACAGGCCTCCTTATCCTAGTCCTCAAGGTCAGTCAAGGTCCTGAGTATCACCCAGTTTCCACACCTGGCTGATCACTGGACTACCAGGAAATGTTAAAATGCAGATTCCAGGCCCCACCCCTGGAGATTCAGTTTCAGGGGTCTGAGTTGGTACCTGGGCATCATTAATAATTAAGAAGCTTCAGAGGAGATTCTAGTGATCAGAAAAATTTGAGAGGACCCCATGAACACCTTTGACCTTAGAGCCCTACAATATGCACATGTACACACACACATACCACCCACACTCAGAACAAAGGTGAGACCAGGAGTTCACCATTCAGAGTGTCTGCCATTATCATCCCAGAGTCCTATCATCTCCTTCCTTCTAGGCCTTAGCTCCCAGGCCAGCCCTTACCTGCAATGCCTCTGTCTACACAGACACGCCCTCTGTGTGTGTGTATGTGTCTCTCACCAGAAGAGCTCACAGGACTCAGAAGTAGTTACAGTCTCAGATGTGGTTTATTTCCATCAGCAGTGAGAGAAAAACACACATGAGGTAGAGCCTGAAAGAATTCACACACAGGGTTCCCATGTTCTCCTACCAGGAAGGGGTGTGCAGAACTTGCTTATACTTCCAGCAGCAAAATGCAGCAGCATGTGGGCAGTGTTTCTGCCCAGAGGAGCCTTCTTGGGACTCAGAATCCAAGTTTATAATGGGGATGTTTTATTAACTGCACAGGTACTTTTTGCCTGCACGATCAATCATAGTCCTTAGAATTTCAGGCTCTCAGAAGGAAAGCAGGTGTTTGCCATAAATCACCTTGTTGTACAAACAGTCCAGGCAGGATGGTACATCAGAATTCAGTGCCCACACAGACAAAACAACCAAATCACTTAGTACCACAGGGAACATCTTAGCAAGTTCCTAGACACCAGTCAAGAGTAATCCTGAAAGCAGGCCCTACTGGTGAGCAACATCGGGTGTGCCATGGTCATTCTTTCCTGCACACCTGCAAACCTAAAATATTTGCTGTTTGGCCTTTTCTGGAAAGAGTTTGCTGACTCCTGAGCAGGAGAGCCCTCAGACAACTCTGAGGGGATAATCAATGCACTCCAACCCCCACCTGACTCTCCACTCCATCATTGTTGCTCTCTACCTCTGCTGCCACCAGCCTGGTCCAGGCTGCCACCATCCCCCACTTGACAACTACAATAGTCTCTTAACTGGTCTTCCAGAAATGGCTCTTGATCCCTCTAGGCCACTCCCCAACAAGCCGCAGAGTGATTTTTTGAAATAGAAATCTGCTGAGCACCTCTTTGCTTAAATCCCTTCTGGGATTCCCTGTGGTCTTTGGAATAAGACCCAAATGCGGGGACTCCAAGGTACCTCATGAGCTGCTTTCTTGTAACATCTCCTGTTACTGTCTCCATCTTTCAGTTCATTCCAGATATTAGCCTCCTTTCTGCTTTAGGACCTTTGCACATGCTGTTTCTCTGCTGGGTACACTCCTTTCTTCCTCAGACTTTCCCTTCCCACCTTGTCTGACTAACATCCACTTATCCTTTAGGATTCAGTTTAAACATAACTTTGTCAAGCTAATCTTTCTCAATTGCCAATTATGGACTCCCCCCGCCCCCGCAGTATTCTGTACTTATTTTCCAAAGTACTGACCATGTTTTCAATGAAATATTTATATACTTTTGTGCATCTATGTATTACATATATGACTTATTTGTTTAATGTCCATGCATTTGCTCTACAGACCATTTCCTGAGTACCCACTCTGTATTAAAGATTAGTCTAGGTATTGGACATATAGCAGTAGACAGTGGAGAAAACAATGATACCTGCCACATGGGGTTTATATTCTAGCTGGGGAAGGAAGTAAACAAAATTAAATAGTAAAGCATAAAGTCCACTAGATGGTAACTGGGATCATAGAGACAAAATATGGCAATGAAGAGCAAGTGCTAGGGGAGAGGACTACAATTTTCCATCAGGATGACTGGAGAGGCCTCACTGAGAGGGCAGCTTAGAAGCAGGGCCTGTATCTACTTTGCCCACCACTGTGTCCCAGGCCCTCGCTAGCTTAGTGCCTGGTACTTAGTAAGTACTCAATAAATGTTTACGGAATGAATGTAAGAACCAGAACTATTTTGTTTTTTGAAGAAAGGTTCTGTTGCTTTAACAAAATTCTCTAAAAATCTCCAAATCCCTACATCTGTGAGCTGTACTAATTTTTGATTCTCCATCAGTGATGGCCAGGAAGTGTGTATATGTGTGTTTGTGTTTGTGTGTGTCTCCAAAAGCAACAGTGATAGCAGATTGTCTGGGGCTGAGATAAGGATACTGACCCCAAAGGGAAAGGAAAACAAGGCTCAATGTAGCCAGTGTTTTATGGAAGCTGCTGTGTGTTGCAGAAAGGGCCCAGCATGGCTAGAAAGGAAGGTGCGAGCAGCCCTGAGCCTGCTCTCAACCTGCTTGGGGGCTCAAAGGCTGGTGGCAGGGTATTCAGTCACGCTGAGTCTGAGAAGGGCTGTTGATGACTCCTCCAACTCTGGCAGCTGGTGCATCATGCAAGGTTTGTCTCAGTGTGCTGAGGGGAGGCAGCCTGTGACCCGGTCAGTAGAATCACAGTGCCCCGCCTAGAATGTCTAGTTGACTGAGAAACCCAGATCAGAGAGGCTGACCCACTTGCTTGTGGTCACACAGCAAATTAGCAATCCTATTATAACTTAGGGTTCCTGAGTTCTGGGTGGGAGAATTCCTAAATAAAGGGAGGTGAGATCTTAAGCTAAAATATAAATAAATAAATAAATAAAATAGAACAGATCCACACCACCCAATTTCAATGGTTCCCATTTGTGCATACCCCAGACCATAAGAAGCAGGAGAGTATAGGTTTCAATTCCTGCTCTCCCATTCCTGGCAGTATGGCCTCAAGCAATAAACCTCACTTTTATGGAGCCAAGTCTCCACTTCATAGAATGAGAATCACAGGTTGTATTTGCCTGTCCCATCACATGGCTATGAAAGTCAAGTACGATGACCCAACTGATGAAAGAGCTTTATTTCAATTTATAATTATTTACTTTAATGTACATTAGGAAAAAATCACATCAAAACCATGACTTCATAGCTCTTACTATTTAGGACGCAGCCAGGACTGAAAAAACATCCTGGGATAGTGTTAGGACTTCCGGTAGCCACGGGATCCCTCTGAGACAGCTGAGGCACAGTTCTCAAAGTTAGAGAAAAAAGGCCAGGAGAGCTGTCGGCTGGAAATATTTTACCAAGGGATCAATAAAAGGCTTGATTTTGTGTATCTTGGTAGTGTTCTTTTACCAAGTCCAGATTTTTTTTTTTTCTGAGTAATCATCTTGACTTAGTTTTCCATTTGCACTTCAGATTGCATCAGGGAGGAAAACTCCCAGAAAGCATCACCAGGCCTGGTTGTTTGGCTGGTCTGGGAGTGTGAAAACTCTAGTTTCTTGGTTGGGGATGATCAGAAGTTGTGGTGTTAAAGCCTCCTATGGCTGGGAGGGACTAAAGTGTTGATTCTGGAGCCACTGTGGGTGGAGAGATAGGAAGGGAGTATTTGGAGAAGGTGTGAAGACT